GCTGCAGTTGAAATTCTGTCCCTGCAATAGGATTATATAAAACCGTCTGTTAAGTTAGGGGCTTAAAATGTTTTGTCACTGAGAATACATGTTTGTTAGTGGTTTTAACAGTGCTGCAAAGTAAATCGTGATAGATAGAAGCAGCATGGGAATTTACCAACAAGTCTTTGCAGTGGCAACTCTGAGTGCTCATAAATGCATTCACAATGTTTGTCTTATTCTTATAAAAGATGCGTATGTTAGTTTTTTTTTTTGCTTTCCAAAATATATCATATGAGTGAATACAGTGAAATCAGAATGTTCCAAGGTGACACCATACAGCAGCTGACTTAAAATGGCATCTAGGATAGATGACGATTTCTGAACATTTTTCTGTTGAACATCTGGCCAAAACACATACAAAATGAGCACAGAGTATTTATAGCAGTAGGGAATAAGGGCTGCCATTATACACTAAATATCAAAATATCAACTCTTTTTTTTTTTTTTTTTTTTTTTTTTTTTGCATCTCCCTTAGAAAATAAATCCAGCCTTTGCATAGACTCTGCTAACATAGCATGAAATTCCACAGAACTGAGGGCACAGCATAGAGCAAGGTATTTTAGTCAGATGGTAATGAAGTGCATTTGAAAGATAAGAGATTTATCTTGTAGGTGTATTGCCCGATAGCATTCTCATAAACTGAAAGCCCGGTATAGCCTAAAAGCTGATCCCAAAGCAGCTGCTCTGCTGAAATCTGCAGAACAGAAGATGAGTGGGATGTTGAAACAGGAAATAAACCCATCATTTTGGAAGAAAGAGGGCTTAAAAGGGGACAAAGACAAGGCACTTTAGGGTTTATGTGGAAACAGAAGATTCCCCAACAGAAACTATGCAAAAACTGGAATTTTGAAGGGAGACAGCTATGTTCTCTGTGTGTATTTGTGTTGGGGATAACGGAAGGAGGAGGTGCTGTCTTGTAACTCTCAGAAAAGGTCTTTGCCCTTCCCTGTGCACAGCGTTCTCAGGTAGAGCTGCAGTGTAAAGCAGAGTGTCAGCTCCACCCTCGGGCAGAAAGGGAAATGCAAAGCCAGCTGATGAGTACAGCGAGTGCAGGGATGCTCATACACGACGTGAATGAATGCTTGCGTAGTTGTGCAGTTTATATAGTTGTGATAAGTAAACGGGAAAAATAAAACTGAAAAGATGTGCTGATGGATTTTGCAGTGAACCCGGAAAAACGGTAACAGTTTTCTTCCTATTAGTAGATATAACAGTATTTCTACTTAATGTTTAAAATGCTTGTTATTCACAGTTCTCACCCACTGATTTTTCTTTCTGCTTTTTAGCTGTACCTGATCTGCTTATGAACCATGTCCAGAATAGTTGGCCTTTCTGGTTGTGGACCTTACCTTGGACCAAAGTTATGGAGATGAGATTAAACCTTACTACCCAACTACCATAACAGAGTGCAGCAGTGAAGAATTACAGCTGAATTTCTCTCTTTCTACTGTGATTTATAGTCATGGATTGCCGATCACTACATCTTCACAATGGCTGCAACCTCTCACTGAAGTACTTAGGAGCGTTTCTTTGAAAGCAAGATTCATGTTCAGCAGTTTATCTTACCTTCGGTTTGTTCTCTACCTGAAATCACTATCCATAACATAAAATATCAGTACGCTTCTTTTCAGACTCACAGAGGGAAGGGAAAGAGGAACATTCTATCTGTGTAATAATGAAGCCAGGCATTTTTCAGTCCTCCATGACATGCCAGTTGCAGTAACAGCATAACAGGCTCTGCTTCATCTCTGTCTTCATATGTCTGGCTCCTCGTGGGCTGCAGGCAGGAAATGGTGATGGAGATACAGCCATTGCTCTAGACAGACTATGGATTGTCATAAATTCAGTGAATAGCCTGGGGGCTTGAGGTTGGCATATATTCAGGGAAAAAAAAAAAAAAGGAAAGGCAGCTTTTTTTTAATCTTATAGGCTCACAGATTAAAAATGCTCCCAAATCTTACGTCTATGCAGGAGCAAGTCTCCTTTATTAAAGAAGCAATCTCTTCCTATATTAGTTAGGCAGGGGTTATATCACTGATGAAATTAACAAATAATTGTATAGATTTCATTTCCATTTATTTCTTTGTATTTAGGTTGGACAGTTAAGGAACAGCAGTCCTTTCTATTTTCTCTTTGTTCTTTTTCCACTTTCTGGTTTCCCATGTCACACCAAGACTCTGGTTTGTCTCTTTTCTCAGCTGAAAGTGAGCGAAGAGGCAGAATTTAATTTGGAGTACTGTTTTCTGCTTTTTAACCATTCAGAATTATGATAAGTCTAGCTAACTATATTTTGAATTAGTCTCACTAGAGATTGAATAGTTCTGTTTGGTTTTAGAAGAGTTGATGGAAGTACTTTATTTACGTTACTGTTGGTAAATGACTTCCTCACCAAAAATACAAGTTTATTTAGGGAAAGTGAAAATATTTATCCTGCTCAAAATATTTCTGTCAGATGTTGGCCAACAATACACTTCTCAATTTCTTTTCCTTCCCATTTTGTCTTGAGAAAACAGTTCTACTGCTCTAGACAAATTTAGAATATAAAGTGTGTATGAAAGCAACTTTTTCATTCATTAGACACCACCTTGTTAACATCTTTTTGGTGGCATGTATTTCTACACAGCAACACACCATGAAAGACAGTATTTTTCCTCCTCTCAAGTGCCAAAAGCATGTTGAGATTCCCAAGCTTGCATTTTACTGAGAACTGAGCAGTGTCTGCTGGTATGCAGCTGAAAATTCTGTCTAAACAGCAAGTTCTTGTTTATGACTATTTAACTGCTACTTTATGGTCAGATATCCTACATTAACTGTTATCGAGCTTCCTCTTTGCTTTCTTTCCTTCATCTAAAGCTTCACTCATTATTAGCTCAGGGGGAAGTTTTGGACAGGCAAAAAAGGAACCGTGGAATGTGGGGCTGTCTATTTGCAAATGCAGAAGCTGGTTGACCAAACCTCTAGTTCTCAAGGGAACCACAGATTTTTCTGATTGCCCTTTGCGGTATGACTTACTTTCCTTCCTGCTCTTGAACAATGCCAGCAGGTTGGCTGGCATGGACAGCACTTCTCTGCACCATGTATTGTGCTGACATGCCCTCATTTAGGCAGAGGCTACTCTTCTTCTCTTGAAAGACTGTAAATGTCTTCTTGCTTCCATGGATGTCCCAAATTTGAAGCATTCAAGACTGTCCCTTATCTGCCACCAAGCCTCAGAGTGACCCAGGTAGCACCAGAAGCCCCGAGCGCCTTGTCAGTCGCCTGGACCAGGAATGTGGCCATGCCTGCATCCCTGAGAATGCAGTCCACGCATCCTTTCTCCAGAGACACAACACATGGTGCTGCTTTTTTAATGTTGTTTGTGTCTGATAGTTTGCTGAGTTATCCACAAAGCCACCCCTTGATGCTCTGCTTTGAGGCCACTCAAATGCATACATCCATACGTGTTAGGGGCTGCTGGATCTGCTGGAGATGAGCTCCGCAGAGAAGGACCTGGGCGTCCTAGAGGGCAACAGGTTGACTGTGAGCTATCCTGAGCTATGAGCTATCCAAGCTATGTGAGCTTGCCTTTGCAGTCAAGAAGACCCCAGTCCTGGGGTGCACTAAAATGAGTGTGACCAGCAGGCCGAGGGAAGCGGTCCTCCCCTCTGCATATCTGGAATACTGTGTCCAGATTTGGGCTTCTCAGTTCAGAAAAGACAAGGATCTCTAGAAATTCTAGAGTCCAGCAGAGAGACACAAGGGTGATGTGGGGCCTGGAGACACTTTTGTATGAGGAAAGGCTGAGAGTCCTGAAGCTGTTACTGTTTATTCATCTCTAAGTTGTGGCAGTCAAGTCTGTGGAGGTGAAATCTTTTCGGTGGCAAGCAGCAATAGAGCAAAGGGCAGAAACCAGAGCACAAAGGAAGTTCTATATGAAGGAAGAACTGACAGAGTGACAGAGTACTGTCTGTAGAGGTTGTGAAGTCTCCTCTGGAGGTGTTCTGAACCTGTGCTGAGACACTTTCCTGTGTGACCTGCTTCAGGGAACCTGCTTTAGGAGGGAGCTGGATGATCACTCCTTACGACCTCTCCAATTCTGTGGTTCTGTGGTAACCCGCAGCCTCCTGACCCGAACCCAGGGCTGACCCAAGAGAGCTAGACTTAGGCTCTGCCCTGCTGCAGACGGGCCGCTCGGCAGCCGCCTCACGGCGACGGGCCTGAGGCGAAGACGCGGGCAGTCTCCTGCAGGTGACAAGATGGCCACCAGGGTGCGCTGCGGAGCGGCGCGGCAGCCCCGGGCCAGAGGAGGGAGCGCCCCCGCCGGGGGGGGGACAAAGCTGCGGCTGCGGGCCGGGGCTGCGCTGTGGCTGGGGGCCGCGGCGCTTCCTCAGCCCCGCACTCAGCCGCGGGAGGGGCGAGGCGAGGCGGGGAAGCGGCCGCGCTCCCCTCACGGCGCTGCCCGCGGGGGGACAGCCCGAGGCGGGACCTCCCGCTTGGACCTGCTGAAGCCCGGTTCCTGGCCGAGCAGGGAAGGGGCCGGAGCCGAGCGGCGCACACCTACGGGGAGGGATGGAAATGTACCGGTGCCGCCCGCAGTGAAAGGAGAGCGGCTCGGCGGGAAGCGGAGGGCGGGGAGCGGAGCGGCGCAGAGCATCGCATCGCATCGCATCGCACCGCATCGCATCGCCTGGCGGGGAAAGCGAGGGACCAAATGCCTATGAAGAAGGGCGGCAGCAGCCACCACCGAGAGAGCTGCCAGCCGCGGCGCAGCCCCGGGAGGAGCCCTGCCGCCCGCGGGGTCGAGCCGCCCAGCGGCGTCCCGCTCCACCCCGTCCGCCGGGGCTGCGATGGGCGCGGGCGGCGGGCGCGGGCCGGGCCGCCGGGCGTAGGGCGCGGGCGG